TGTTATTTAATAAGAGAAAAAAGAAAACCTTGAATTAAACACATTAAATAGCCAATCCAAAAGAGAAGACTATCTCGCGCGCTGCTATCTGCTCTCTGAAGCCACCCTATTAGTGTCTGAGCCTCTGCTATTCATTACATGCGGCAAATAAACTCTAGATGCTAAATGCAGCTTTCAGCCACCCCCACAATTCATCTCTCTGACATCTACGCACATTAATATTCATTACCGAGTGGCATTTTGACAAACAAATGCCCAGCTCGCCGCAAACGCTGGGAACGTTATGGCAATGTGTGATGCTGCGTTCGGTATGATGTGGCGTGATGTATCGGGAGGTTTCTGGCCCTGCGTGATCATGTACTCAACTGGGTCACGGTGCCCTTCTTTATTCGCAGGCTTTATTAATGCAAACAATACACCGGTTCGATTAGTTTTCTGATAACGGCAGAGGTAGGTCACCGATCCATGCTTTTCCATTCAGAGATACAAAGGAGGGAACTGACTAAAATGAATTGCGCTGATGATAAAGCCATTTATTTGCATGTGGTGCACGTATTGTTTTAGCACTATTCACTAAAGAAATTATGCAAATTGCACAGCACAAATGTATACAAAAGACCTATGTTAATGCAGTGTGTACATGGTGCAAAACCCAATTTTGAGTACTAAAGAGTGTAGGATGCAGCAGACCACAGTATCATGATCTAACATATTTAATGTGACTCCACAGCGTCATTCCGCAATAGCACCAGGTTTATGAATAAGGCGTAATCAGTAATAAATATCATTTACAAAGAAAGGACACAGAAAATAATTTAAAAAAAAAACTGAATATTATTTTTTAACACATTTAGTGCCTGGTTAAACTGGATAGCCATGGAGTCAAAAAAGATGATGCATATAGTTGCAATTAAATAAAGTACTGCAGAAGATAAAGCTGTACTTACTGCAAGGAATAGTTCACCCAAAAACTAAAATTTGCTTAGAATGTACTTACCCACAGGCCATCCAAGATGTAGATGAGTTTATTTCTTCATCAGAACAGATTTGGAGAAATGTAGCATTGCATCACTTGCTCACCAATGGATGCTCTGCAGTGAATGGGTGCCGTCAGAATGAGAGTCCAAACAGCTGATAAAACACCACAATAATCCACACCACTCCAGTCCATCTTGTTAAGTGCAAAGTTGCATGTTTGTAAGAAACAAATCTGACATTGAGACGTTTTTAACGTCCTCTAGTCCTCTATCCAAAATATTGCTTTCCCCAGTGAAAAAGTCGTCTTGTCTGAATCAGGAGTGAAATATGCACAGATCAAGTGCTGCAAGCGAAAACAGTCCAAAACAGCTCTAAACAAATATGTGGGTGGATTTTGATGTGAGAGACAAAAGGAGATGGACTTTTTCACCGGAAGAAGCGTTGGATTATGGACTTGCATTTTGAGCAGAAACAATGGTTTGAAGTTTAAAACGGCTTATTGATGGATTTGTTTCTTACAAACATGCAGCTTTTGGCTTCATAAGACATTAATTGATGGGCTGGAGTGGCGTGGATTACTTGTGGATTATTGTGACGTTTTTATCAGCTGTTTGGACTCTCATTCTGACGGCACCCATTCACTGCAGTGCAAGTGATGGAATGCTACATTTCTCTGTTGCAATGAAGAAACAGACTCATCTACATATTAGATGGCCTGAGGGTGAATACATTTTCAGCAAATTTGAATTTTTGGGTAAACTATTCCTTTGAAAAAAAAGTGTTGCCAAAAAAAAAAACAATTTGCAGAAAAATTGTTTCATCCACATGCATTTTGCAATTATGCTTAGTTTTCGTCTTTTGCAGTATTTTTAACTATATTAATAATCATTTTGACTTTAATAAGTCAAAAAAAAGAGCCAAATGTGTTGCAAAAGAATTGCCACCAAGAATGTTTTGCAGAAAAAAATTTGTTTCATTTACATGCAGTGGGGTTCTTTTTGCAATTAAATACAGCTTTGTCGTTTGCAGTATTTTATTCCACTGAAAGACTGCATGCAAAACCATTGCAACCGTTTAGTGAACTCACCGCAGAGTGTTGACAAGAACAACTGTTGGTGACAAAAACATGTTATGAATTGCACAATGCACACAGAACACAAACTGCAAACGCTAGTGCATCTTTTGTGTTTGTGTTTGGTGTTGCATCTACGAGTCCAAACAAACTGCATTTTCTCTGGCTCATAGGGATGAGGCATTGCTTCATAAGACAATAATGGCTTGTGGAGGAGCGTCTCTCAGACTACAGACTACAAAATGCCACAAATTAGATTACACCAGGTGTTTTAGCACAAATAGGCATTTTCATTGGGCAAGCATGACTGCTGGGCCTAAACAGGCAGAACAAAAAAGAGTGAAGTAAATTACTGGTTCCAGAACAGGTTCCAGACATGTGTTGAGTGCACCTAATTCCACAAAGTGCTTACATACACAATTTTGTGCCATGAGACTCCAGCAACCTGATCCAGCTGTAATCCTGCAGAGAATACAGCGAACCCCTGGATCGCTAACAAACACACTCAGGAGGATGCTGTTTGCTTTGGATCATCTGAAACTGCAGTACGAGTCATATTGAACCACCAGAGCGATATGTATAACTTCACTGTACTGCGGAAGAATATCAAGATCAGGAGAGGTCAATGAAAACCAGAACCTGAAGTGGGCGTCATGCTATTTTCCACTGGTGCACATAAACATGAAGTACTGTACTGGTGCAATAGCAACACAATTACTGCAAAACGCTTGGACCCAAATTATGGCCTTTAAGCCGATTCTTGGAAGATATTTCTTGTTTCCAGTTCAGAGAGAGATCTTTGTGACAGAAATAGAAGAGGAGGTCAAGTCTTGTCCAGGGAAATCTGATGAATGTTTCTTCTGTAGCACAAAACGGCAATAAATAGCAGAACTTCAAACAGAATCTTACATTTTTTCTGAGTGCTCTTTGTGCGTGCAAAACTTGTCAATACAATGCTGGGTGGTTTCTTAATGGCACAAGTAACCCTCAGTTCAATATGATATTATGGGCCCAATTGCAAGAAAGTATACAGTAACTCAGTGGTTCCCAACCCTGGTCCTGGAGGCACCCCAACATTGCACATTTTGCATGTCTCCTTTCTCTGACACACCAATTTTAGGTCTTGAAGTCTCTACTAATGAGCTGATGACCTGAATCAGGTGTGTTTGATTAAGGAGACATGCAAAACGTGCAGTGTTGGGGTGCCTCCAGGACCAGGGTTGGGAACCACTGCAGTAACTTACAGTGATGCTTGCAACGAGCTGCTGGTCTTTAGATATGGCTCAAAAATAAAAGCGTGGTCACATGCACATCTCGTGAGCATTGCGGCAATTGGTGCAATGAAGAATTTCACCTAATTGAGTTTCCTGTGGAAAGAATTCCCTCTACTCATTCCAAATTCAAGTCTGGTGAACTCTGACACACGCATTTGCAATGCCGACCAATCCGTTGTTAAGCCTGACATCACACACCACTGTTTCTGGGTCCAAACGCTCTATTAGATGCCTTAGCAAACCAAAAAAATGGTGCTAACATTCGCTAACAGTGTGCTGTAACTCTACCGAAAAATCATGACCTTAACCTTTATCCCCATTGCAGATTTAAAAAAAAATAAATCATCCTTTATTTAGAGTTGATTTATTTGCTAGCCAGCAGTATAGCATTGGATGTTTAATTTGTTATTTATTCCTGTATCATTCATTTTCTCGTGCTTTCTTGCACTTGCGAAGTTTCGCCGAGCAACAATAACTGTGACCACACCTTATTTCTATTTTTGTTTTTTTGCTATTTTATTGTCTGCCAATCTTTATTTATTTATTTTACTTAATTTTGTTTACATGCATTGTGTTTGCATTATTTTTTATTAACTATATGAATCATCATTTCAACTCCAAAAAGTGTAACTGCATCTTTTTTGCCATTTTATTGTACACCATTCTTTGAAATAATTTATTTTATGTAGTTTTATTTACATGCATTATGTCTACAGTATTTTTTATTAACTGTATATAAATCATTTTGTCTCCAATAAGATGCAGGTTCTTTTGCTGGGATTGCATGCAGAATTGTTGCAACAGCTTTCTTTCACCTACAAAGACACTTTCTTTTCACACACTCTGCTTTCTGTATCATATACTGTATGTTTATCACAAACAGTTCAAGACGAGTTTCATACTGAAGTCTAACACTTTAGGGTATGAGCAGCAATCACGAGCGATGCTTGTAAACATGAGAAAACGTTTCTCCTCTTACCCTTTCTGTCAGTGTTGCTGGCTGCTGTGGAGGGAGAGAGGCCCTTAGGCGGCTCCTTGTTGGTATTTTCCTTGGTGACCAGGGAACTCTTGTGTTTGAGGCATTTCGGAGCGTCCAAGGATTTCAGCTTCTTGGCATGTTTGGTGCCTTTGTAGTGGGCCAATGCCTGGCTCTAGGAAACACAAAACAGGCCAACCCGTGGAGAGGGCCAGCCCGGACCAGGTGTTAGCAACAGCAGACAGGGGCAAAGGAGCTCTGAGCCATGCGCAAACAAGCTGCTGGAAGCAGCGCTGCAATGTGGCACGCTCGCATTTTGTCGACATCAAACCACCCATCTGTGAGGGTGAAGGTGACATGACGCCCATCTTCAGTGCAGCCCAGTAAAATGCAGCTCTCATTATGAGAAAGCCTGCTTGCTTGTGAATCTTATATTGTCCAGTGTCTTTGTGTTTCACCTGTATGTGTCGACTGTCTGGATCTGCTCCAAAAGCTAATGAGCTGCCTACATATACAACATTTTAAGGCACGGTAGGCATGCAACACAATGAAAAGGACAACTTTCCAATTTTATATGTGAAAAAAAAAATCATAAATCACTGCAATGTGAAGCTAAAAATGTTTTAATAATTTGGAGAAAGAAATTACAAATGTATGACTGCTAGTTAAAGGGGTCCTATTAAGCTTTTTCACTTTTTCAACTTTAGTTAGTCTGTAATGTTGCTGTTTGAGCATAAAAAAGATCTGCAAAGCTACAAAGTTCGAAGTCCACTTCAAAAGGAGATATTTTATTTAACAGAAATCACTTTTCAAAAACTACAACGAACGACTCGTTTGGACTACAAAGCATATTTTCCGGGATTTGTAATATCACAAAGATCGACGAATGGGACGAGACCTGGTTGAGCTGCACTAGAGAAGGCAACAAGTGCCTTATCACTATGTCGGAGACACGCTAGCTTTCTCAAGGCAGACGAACTTAGAGTGGTTACAATCATCCGGGTTTATATTGTGCTCAAATTGATTTGATATTGACGCAATCTTTACACTGAAGCTCGCAGGCGGCTATGGTAAGGGGCGTGACATTTCCCGACCAGGCGCCGAGTGCTGCCAATCACAACACACACTGGCCCGGCTAACCAATCACAGCACACACTGGCCCGGCCTGTTGTATTTCAATTTAAGATCAATTATACTGCTTGGCAAGCATCAAGAAAGTGAGTGGGTTTGGATAATTGCAAAAAATTGGAATAAAAATATATATGATGATTAAACTTTTTTTATTATTAGTCATAGATATTTTAATATATATTATATGTATTAAATACATTACCATTATATATTAATTATATAAAACGAATGTGCTAAATTCGTTATTTTTTCCTGTTTAAAATGAATATTTTCTGTTTTGTTTATGTTTTTTTTTTTTTTGTAGCTTCGTTCATCAATCTAAACACAGGGTAAAAACACAACATAACATTCATTAATTCATTAATTAAAACCATTCATTAGAAAGTTTTAAATATTTTGTGACACTAAATTTGTCTTTTTTTCCTCAAGGCTTTCATTTGCAATATTCTAAGCCAGCATATATTCTTCGCAGAGAAGGCAATCCTATAATGCATTGTGGGAAAAAAAATATATAACTGGAGCAATTCAATACCAGCTTCTTCATTTTATGCCTATTCAATGTTTTCTTCTGCCAATATAATAGTAATGTCTTCTATAAATCAATAAATATCGATTTACTGTGATTAATTTCATGATTTAGCATACTTTAATTGCATCAGTCAAACAGCACAGACTTCTGTGAATAAGGTGCAACATATAATGAGCTTAATTTACATATAAAGGAGACGTGTTTGTGCTGGAAAGAATGACAATGACTTCAATTAAACATGCACAACATTAATTCGGCACATTTAGTGCCTGCTTAAACTGGAATGATTAACTAATCAGCATATCATGTAATTCCTTTGACTATCAATTTCAGCTGATTGACAGTGATTCATTCTGATTTATTCATTACTAAGGTTCATATAATTTAAAAATGGACTATTTTGCCTAATATCAATGTATCTTATGCATATGTATTAAATTATAACCTCAGTAGCATTTTTGAGTCTCCTCGCTTGAATCACTTGATTAAGGTGGTTTCATTTCAGTCAGGATGTTCCCTTAGAAGGCAGCTCCCTATGAAGGAGGTAGACCGCAAGCAGCTCACTAGGTTTTGGCTTAGTCTCTTTGAGTAATGGAATGGAATAAAGAGTCTGACAGAGAAGAAAAGAATGGCCTCTCCCAGTCGTCCATGTGTGAGGTTATTATCCCGTATGACACAGACCCATACATAAAACTTCCAGCTCATCGTGGCTGACTTGGTGGGAAACAAATCTTTTAATATCCGCGGGCACAATGTAGGTAGCTTCAAACGCTCTGTGCCATTTGCTTTCACCTTCAAACGAGATTTATTACGGCTCACTTGGACCGGGCCATTCGCAACGCCTTTCAATTGTCCTTGTTTACCTCAGCACTATCTCCTGGACGCCTGTCTGACATTGCTAGCAGCGGGGAGGATACTATCAAGAGACGGCCAAACACTTCTTTGAATAATTAACATTTTATAAATTACTATTTAAAAAAACAAAAAAAAACAAACATGAGTAGACACACATGCTAGTCCAGAAATAACTTTGTTGCCTATGGTAAGTTAATCAAAATAAATAAATACAGTTAAATAATAAATAGAAACTGATAAATAAATATAAAAAGTTACAATAATTATATTTATATTTAATAATTATGCATAATTAAAACAAATTATTATATATTTATTACTGGCAATAAAATGGTATTTTGCATTATTTTCCAATTGTGAGTAAGAAAAAATCGATAACATTAAATAATAAATGTATAAAATTATAAATCAACATAAAAAGTTACAATTGTTATATTTCTATAATAACTTCACAATTACATGTATAAAAATTATAAATGATGCATAATTACAAAATGTTATATATATATATATATATATATATATACACACAAACTGCATTTTGCATAAGGCGAGTAATTTAGAAAAATAAATAAAGAATAAAAATATTTAAAAAGTTACAATAATTATGAATAAATACATTTCTATTTAATTTAATAATTGCATTGGTAAAACTAGGTAAAACTGCTGTTTACCTACCAAAGCTGATCTTTACTCATTTTGGTGAGCATTCAATTCAGACCTTGCTAACAACATATTTCATACTCACATTCTTCTCACGACTTATTTCTTTACAATACCAGCTTGCTTGCCAGAGAGGTAATTTTGTAAAGACATTAAGGGCAGATATGCCTTTATGAAAAGCAATAAGACGTCATGATGATCAGACTCCTTTTGATATATTGTATTTGTACAAATAGCAGTGCGATATGTTTGTGTACTGTGTATATTCGTTACGTGTATATATAAAAGCACACACATATAGTATATATTTTGAAAATATTTCCATGTATTTGCATGTATATATTTATTTGATATTATAGATAAATAGATAGTGTTATGAAAATGGCTTTAACACCATGATAGATGGGATGTTTCCCGACACCTTCCAGCTATTCGTTCCGTCAGCCAATCACAGGGGAGAATGCAGTGACACAGATTAATGTCATGTGCAATCTGAGCTGCAGTCAACCATTCATTAAACGCACGTCACGGAAGAGCTGGCACTGTGATGGCCGAGAGCGGACGCCCGACGAGGAGGAAGTCAGTCCTGTCCCATGAGCCTTTAACTAAGACGGGCACCTGCAATGGGACACTGTTAAATGACGCTATCAATCAATCATGGCAAAAGCAAATTAGAGCCGCAGTCTGTACTTGGCAGGCAAAGAGCAAAGCTCTTCAAAAACTAACTAGGTTTTCTTTCCCCTGCCATTATATTCTGTATTTATAATTCATACGCCCAGAAGAATCCATAACCAAGTGTCTCATATTTATGTGAGTAACAAACATATAGGGTCTAAACTAAATATATGCCAGTAAGTTCAAAATAAATAATGTAAAAAGTTATTAAAAATAAATAAAAACAATTATAAGTCATTTAAAAACATTTAAATGATAATTCATTGTAAAATAAAATTTAAAAAAAAGACAAGCATGTGAGTAACAAAGATAAAGATGCTAGTTCAGAGCTAACTTTTTGGCAGTAAGTTGGGGAAAAAAATTAATATAAAAAGGTATAGTAATTATAAACAATAAATATTTAAAAAAAATGTAAATTAATATTATAAATACTTTTATTGTTTAAAGAAAAAAAAAGACATGCATGCTGAGTAAAAAAAAACATGCATACTAAGCTTCAGAACTAACTTTTTGACAGTAACTTTTTGACAGTAAGTAAATATAATATTATTAATATTATTAAAATATTAATAATATTATTTAATAAATAATATTAAATCATACATAAATACAAATATAAAATAAATACAAAAAGGTAATAATTATAACAACAATTGTAAATAATTCTAAATAAAAATATTACAAATTCTAAATAATTCTAAAAATAAAAATAAAAAAATAACAATAAATAAATAAAACAAAGCATGACAGCGAAGAGCTGCCACTGTGATGGCCAAGCCTTAACTAAGATGGGCAACAGCAATGGGACACAGTTAAATGACACTTTCAATCAATCATGGCAAAAGCAAATTAGAGCTACATTCTCTGTGTTTGGCAGGCAAAGAGAAAAGCACTTCAAGAACTAACTAGCTTTTCTCTCTCCCACCATTATAAAATGTATAATTCATACGCCCAGAAGAATCCATAACCAAGTGACTCATATTCAAATAGACCTGTGGCGATATATATAAAAACCAAATGTCATTTTCAAAAGTCGCCCGGCACGCCTGGCTGGACTCTGTAACTCTCCAGAAGCCATTTAATTTTTGAAAATGTGCCGCATAAAAGCATCCTGGTCTCAGATTGGAGCTGATTGGAAGCTGGAACACAAACGGCCAATGATAATGAGGCTTTGCTGAGAATACAGCGTGATTTGAATGCATGACGCTCTCTATGATTGGCTGCTGGAAAGCTACAGGGCATGTGATTGGTCAACAGCAGCCCCGCCCACTCATCCTGTCACACGGTCCTGACGGATGCGCATAATGTGCTGTGATTACTATTTGATAGGCCTATTACAGCTTAATATCTGACAGTGACGGTGTAAATGACCGCCTAATAGAGCGGATATGGGAAATGCTATTATGATTATTTTTGCTTTAGTTTTGATTATTTATGCTATTAGGATTTTTTGGTTGTGAGGCCGGTTGGATGTACTGCCAAATTCTCTGAAACGCCTTTGGAGACGGCTTATGGTAGAGAAACGTTCAATTCACGGGCAACAGCTCTGGTGGACATTCCTGCAGTCAGCATGCCAATTGCACGCTCCCTCAAAACTTGCGACATCTGTGGCATTGTGCTGTGTGATAAAACTGCACATTTTAGAGTGGCC